CTCCCATTTCTTCTCATTGTCATACTGACTCAGAAGCTTCATCTTGTCAGGAGGCAGATTCATGGAGCTCTGAGAAGAGAAATTAGAGGTTCATCACAGTAACCTGGAGATCAGGTGAAATCCTTTCTAGCAGAACTGTACAGTACAAACATGCTCGCAGACTCATGGATTCAAATTACTGCAGTATCAATGTTAATACACTTATAAGTAAACATATTGCTATTCCTATTGGTTGATGTGCACAATGCATATCCATCACAAAGTGCTGGATTTCAATAGACGGATTCCATCTATAATACTGGATATCAAAAAAGTTGCCGCCAGTGGTATGTAACCCAGAACCAGGCTTAAACTGTTTAAGAAAAAGAAGAGAAGTTTGTCAGTGTTACAATACTAATTGGTTTGTGGAGTATAAGCCTGGAGTATAGCATGGGAAAGTCTGAGCATATGGTTTATGAAAGAGACTGGCGTTAACGTGTGTATACTGCAGTCTTTCCTCAGTTTCAAATAACATCTGATTTGCCATTTACATAATGAATTTGTAATATTGATAATCTCCATTTACAGGTGCATCTCAATAAATTAGAATGTCGTGGAAAAGTTCATTTATTTCAGTAATTCAACTCAAGACGTTGGTGGAACAGACGTAGAGAAGGAAATGTCTACATTACAAAATGTGTTATGACGCAATTATTGTTCCTTCTTTTGCTTACTTCAGATTGTTAACCTCTTAACGGTCACCTGTCCCCTTCAGTTTCACTATATTATAATTAAATCCTAATCTACTATATATCGTTGGAAAACTCTAAGACTTCTAAATAGATATTTTACCAGTTTTTTGTTATAAATTATGTAGGAACAGTAATAGATTAATTTATGACAAGAGTCCACCCTTAAAAAAATCTACATCATAACAGGAGTTCTGACCTTTGTCACAAAAAGTATTTTTTTCCCTATCACGTTTTAGAAATCATCATAAAGTATATATCAATTGAAAGCTTAAAATTTCTAAATTAATCCTGCGAAAAAAATCATATTACAAAATGTTTTCGTTCATGAATTATAACAATTTAAGTTTGGATAGTGCACTTTCATGTCTATGTTCAAAAATGGGGGTGACAGTTAAAAGGTTAAAGGCATAGTTCAGGCAAAAATGAAAATCCTGTCACCATTTAGGCGACTATTTCGCTTCGTTTAATTTTAAACCTGCATGCATGGCTTTTGCGGAAATGTGAAAAACTGTCTCAATAAAAGTCTATGGGGTCCACTGTTGTTTCACAGAAGTCATACAGGTTTGGTATGACATGAGGGTGAGTAAATGATGACGCAATTTTAATTTTTGAGTAAATTATTATATTTTGTACATATTATGTTTCCCTTAAGTATATCTACTAAGATCATATGCTGTGTCAGTCATCAGTCTGACACAATGTGACTTCCTGAAAACATGGCACGGGGGCTAAGTTGCTACATGTCTTGCACTTAAACACATAAAAATTCATCATTATTAGCTTTATGTTTTGCACTTTCACACCATATCTGGAATTGCACCTTTCAACCAAATTAAGAGGGTGTGGTTTGTAAAAAAAAATAGGTGTAAAGTTTAGTGTAGAAACGCTGTGATCTTGGGTGTTTCCTCCTAAAGCACTAAGACGTTTCCGCTCTGAGCATGGTTATTTCTTTTAAGGTTGTGTGCATAAAGAGCGAAAGCGCATTTAGAAACACACTGAGCGGTTACTGGAGGAACAGAGAGAGCGGGGTGGGTGGGGGACTAACTGTGGTCTACTGGTTCAAGTGAATAAAGTGGAGACTAGATTAAGTTAATAGTATATATAAAGCACAGTTCAGGGCTTATGGCAGTGGCCTGTAATGAGGACATCACTCTGAAGTGTGACCATGTAATGCATTTATCCATTAGCACACAATAGTAATCTAATCAGGGTAGTAGTTACTTGAATTTATGGGCTCAAGGACAAAATTGCAGGGATTGTCCCAAACTCCTTCATACAGTACTTTACAGCATTGTAAAGATGACTTTAGTGGGTCCAACTCCTCACAGGGCCTGGGACAGTCTGGTTGTGCCCCCCTGTGCATTGACCAATAAGAGTATGCTCAGAAAGATCAAATGGCCATTTGTTATATGGAAGTGCTTTTTTTTTTTACTTTGGTAAAATTCTAATGTTATTTCGAGAAGTTAAAAACAAGAAACAAAATCATACTGTGAGATTTAAGTCACATTTATGAGAAGTCACAATGTCTATTCTGAGATGGAAACAGGCTTATAATGAGTTGCTGAAGTGGAACCAAATGGAAGATAACTGAGCTTCCATTAGGAATCAGTTAAATGATTCAACACATTGCTCAACAAAAGGGATGGCATATCTAGGAGTATAACCAACTGACAGCGTTGTCTTGCAACGAAGCGAAAGACGAAACAAAGGTCAGTCGTCACCGAGAATACAGGACCTCTTTTTATCTTATGACTTCTCTTTAAGAAGTTGCCTAATTTGTCATCCCGCCACTGCCATTTCCTATACCAAAAGCCCATGTGGAACTAAAGTGACAGTAATCAGATTGTATTAAGTCAGAAGTGTTTTTCCAAATGTTACTTCATTTTGCATTTCAAGTGGAAGACTGCATTTGCTTTGAAATGTTCATATTGTATTTGATTTTCTTTTTAGATTATCACTGTCTATGCATCAAGAATACAAGAAGTTCCTGTGTTTTTTTTTTTCTACAGCTAATATTTATGTTTCCAAAATGCAAAGACAGAGAATCTAATACTGTTGTAGTTCCTAACATGGCTGTTGTTTTTATCAGAACAGGAAGTATAGAGATTAGCTGCTTTTGCTGTGTTGATAAGTAATGTCTGTGTATAAAGAACTCACCAAAACCACACTGAAGCGTTCTTCGAGCTCTTCCTCAGGAGGCATGGGTAGTTTCGCAGGGGCACATTTCTTTTTGGGTGTGGAGGGAGCAGCGTTTGACCCTCCTGTTGAGCCTTTGGCCTCTGGCCCATCCACCTGCTCCAACCCGCTGGCTGCGTTACCCATCACAACTTTCCTTAGGAATTCCAGGATACTGAACTCTTTCTGGATCAACCACTAACAATTCCAAAAGGCCAAACTCTGGAGGAACCCAGACAAACCTCTCTGCAATCCACAGGTAAAAATCCACTGTTTGAAGTTTTTTAGTCACTCAGATCCAGTGTAGGTGGAAGCACATGGAGTCTTTTTAGCACATGCTGTCAGAGAGTATGGATACCTTTCAAACCAAAAACGGTGTCCAGGATGGTGTTAATGAGGATGAGAACTTAAAATCAAACTCACAATCAGAAAATTCCTCCGATTTCAAAATGAAGGGTAAAAAGAACTTTCACCTTTGCTTAGTCAAAAAAAGGAAGAAGAAAAGCCTCTGTTTATACTTTCACAATAAAGACAATAGAGGTCCTTTGAAAGTACAGCTCTTCAGCCTCTCAGTGCGGCTGAGTGTGTTGATTACCAGCGTAACAGGCCTTTTCTCCAGTTGTCTGCCTCTCATGTGAGTGCTTCAGATGTTGGAGCATCTTCCTTTATGTCCAGCCCCACTGATCAAGCCTGCAGAAGTTTCTTCCAGAAGAATATACAGATGTTGGCAAATTGACATGAAGGCACCTGTCCGAGCACACTGCTGTGTGTTACAGAAATGAGAGAGAAGCAGTTGTGACAGCAGGAGGAAACCACAGAAAAAAGCAGAAGCATCCACGCTTCCTGTATACCTCGCACTAGAGAGAGAGAGCCCGCTGGGTGTGTCGGTTTAAGTTCTGTTTGTATTTAAAAAAATATGATGATCTAAAACATATCACACCACTCATGTGCATATTATGTACTGTATGTATGTTACGACACTGATGCTGTTGATCAGGGCTTGTTGTCACAAGGCTACTTGTTTTCTCATTTTTTCCAATTCTGTCCTAATATCATAATTTTTTTTGCTGGCCTAAAGCATTTATAAGTCTCAGTTCATTTCAACATTTACTAATACATAAATAAAACCAAAAAGTGACTCTGTTCATATTATTTAATGGACCTGAGCTAACAAGAACAGTTGTGTTTTCATTAACCAATACATTTATTGATAAATACGGTAACAAATATATTGCAGATTGATAGTTAATGTTAGTTAATGCATTAACTACCATAGCTAATGGGACCTTACTGTAAAGTGTTACCTTTGTAATAGCTGTTGGATAAACAACTGAACACAATAAAACCACGCTGGCATTTTTATTTGACTTTTTTTATATTTTTTTATTTTACAGATTATCACATTTGTTTAATATTGTATATTACCAATTTATTTATTTATTGTATTTTAATTTATTAAATATAAATTTACTGTTGTGTTCTGCTGGTCGTAAATATGTTACGGTTTAAATTTTACTAAACAAATCCGATAATACACTATTTAAAGAACAGAATTATTTTATTTATTTATTTTTTCCCCTCCGGCAATAACAGCATAAAGGTTCTATAGCTTTTTCAAAGCCAAGACTTTAAGGTTTATACAGAAATTACATGCAAAGACAGACAGACAGACAGACAGACAGATAGACAGATAGATAGATAGATAGATAGATAGATAGATAGATAGATAGATAGACAGATAGATAGATAGATAGATAAGATAGATACTCCCATTACTATGTGATATGAGCTTTAACTCTCAGTTTGATGTATGATAAACTGTTAGAGCACCACCATGTGGAATAAATGACCACACACTGATGTTTATATTTGATCAATGTAAGCTATAGACTACAATAAAATATAATATAATACACAGTCAATGCAATGAGTAAATCAAAAAACGAAAAGGATGAACGAATAGATCAATATATTAATGAACTAGAGTTAATCGGAAATCATAGCCGTCAGTAGTCAGGAGAACGAGAGAACGAGAGAGTGGAGGATGAGTCTCTAGTCTAGAGGTCCGACCAGATCATGGCCAATAGAGGTCGCAGCTCGTAACATCCAGTCATTGTTTATTCCAAAATGACGGAAAACAGCGCGTCACCGGAGGATCCCTGGTTCAAAGTAAGGAAAAATATTCAGATAAAGACTGTCCGTTGATTTTAAACAGCCATATCCCTCCACATCGCCCTCGTGAAGTGTGTTTCTGTTTATCTGTGTAGGTCTGCAGCGGTTGGTTTCACTCTAGCTCAGCTGGCTAACGTTAGTCGTAAAGTTCAGCAAGTCAAAAGAACAATTACCCTGCTACCCACATTATCGTGGGTTCAAAATGCAGTGTATTTAGTGGTGATTTAGACAACAAATTACTACAGAAACGCGTCCGAAAACGGTTCTGCGCTTAAACGGACTATATATGTTGTAAATGTTAGAATGGAAGCTATAACAGATGGTTAGAGTTGAATCCGCTAAGCTAACTTGTTTGATCGCTACATTGGCTGTGTTTCGAAACGTATTTAAATTGCCACTAGACAGAATTTTTGGGCATGGAAGGCGCGTTCGAACGAACGAATCGACTCCCCAGAGAACGGGATTCGATTCAAGTGACAGATGATGCCCCAAAATACTGTCAAGACAGCAAAATAAAGCTCACTAGTTCTCTTTGTTTGTGCCTTCACTATATTTATGCTGCGGTTCCAATGCATTATAACTTCCTGCCGCATTCATATGCAGCGAATAAAATATGCCCTCAATTGCACCGACTGTAATGATGACATCTTGACAATATGACAGAGATTGCTCAATCTGAGTTTGGCGACGCGTTATGCACGTAGATTAAATGTCACCCTTTAAAGGGGTTATTTGGGACACATCACAGTGGGGAGTTAGAGGTGTCCTAGATAAAGGTAAGGCAGGACAGGTCAGGCTCTGTTTGCATATGTGATCATCAGTTGGCTGGTCTCTGAATCTTTAGTCTGGCTGGCTTTGACTGTTCTTCTGTTTGTCTTTTTATATCACCCGTCTCACCATCATGTCTCAGCAGACGGACGGCGCCTTCAGCGACAACGGCTTCGATCACAGTGAGTACCAGAGCTATAAAATATTACTTTAAGTCTCAACTAATGTGTTTTTTTCTCCAGCTTATATACCAAGATGAAGGTTAGACATGCAGTTATAAAAATATAATGAACCCATAGGTTGGACTTGACAAACTGAAACTACTTTGTGCTGTCAAATGTTGAAGTAACCAAAAATTAACACTAGTGTATACGTTTATACTTATATAAATTTCTATATCATTAGGTTTCTTTGCCGAGAATGCGCGCAAAGGAAGTTTAGTGTCAAGAGCCAACAGCATCGGATCCACAAGTGCCTCTTCTGTACCAAACACAGGTAATACCTCAATCATCTAATATCAAACATGGCCATTATTTTATAACCTTTGCTCTAAAATGGTTGTTTCACTGCCATGAAATACTAAATTCACCCATCTATTTTCTAAAATGCATGTGTTAGATCTAATTGTGAACAATTAAATCCTTGTATACGTCCTGTATGCAAGACTCGTCCCTGCTCCCTCTGATGCAAAGAACCAAGTCCATGGCCTATATTGTTTTCTTTTTCAATTATGTTACACTTTGACGCTGTACGTCACAATATAAAAGAAAACGCTCCGGTTACTATCGTAACCGCTGAGAGCGGGAACGAGACATCACGGAGATATTTCTCCGTTATGGGAACTCCTTCCCTTCCAACCTTTCCTGAAGTCCTATTGGCTCCCGCCAGTCCAAATGACTGGCCAATTGACGCGAAGTATGCAAACCGCATGCAAATACTGACGAGCTACTTTAAAGACAGACATCAAGATACAGTCTGCTAACATACGGTTCTTCCCTTTGGTTTAGATGATGAAGACAGTGATAACAGACATGAGACGCCCTATAAGGAGTCGTATAAAGACCGGAGGAGACAGGCACACACACAGGCAGAGCAGAAACGCAGAGATGCCATCAAGGTAAGAGTGAGAAGAGCAAATTGGTTTAGGGAAAACAAAGACAGAAAATATAGTAGCTTACATAAGCACAAGGGCACCTAAGTACTTGGAAGTGACGGCAATAATCGATCATAAAAGCACAGTAATTACTTGTAGTAATTAATCAAGGGGGGGGGGGCATTTTTGCCAAATAGAAATACTGATTTTGTAAGCATAGGTCTGCACAATTTGCAAAACTATTTTTGTTTTATTACTTAATTCCCTGATAAAAATTGTAAATTGTTTACAATTACAAATGTTTTTAAAGCTCCAGGTGCTGTGCTTGTTTGTAGGGCTGCTCAATATGGCCAAACACTTTGTGATTATATAGAAATATGGCAATAATAATAATAATCCATCAAGCTTTCATTTTGTTGGAAAAAATTACGCAGCGACCCTTTAAATCTTCTCTTCTGTTGACAACAGCTGGTTTGCAAGTGCTTTTCATTACAAAGTTGGGAAGATGATCAGCGCATGTTGTGTTCCCAAATACATGGTACAAGCAACCCAAAACAGGCAGAGATGAGTTCATGTGGAGCAGAATTTACTGTGAACAGACCCGATTTGAGATCCTGAAAACACTGGATTGTGAGCTGCTCGTGTGTAAAAAGAACACAGTGCCTTGGTTCCTAGCGTTCTACTTCTGTCACTCAAATGTGTCTGTACGGATCTCTGTCCCACAGAAAGGCTATGATGACCTGCAGTCTATAGTGCCTACATGCCAGCAGCAGTCTGACTTTGCCATGGCCACACAGAAGATGAGTAAAGCTACAGTCCTGCAGAAGAGTGAGAACCTTCATTATCTATTTATATTTCCTTGTCACATGTCTTTCACTCTGGAATGGAAAAGCTCAGCAGCTTGTGTGTGTGTGTTTGCAGCAATCGACTACATTCAGTTTCTCCACAAAGAAAAGAAGAAGCAGGAAGAGGATGTTTCCACACTTAGGAAGGAGGTGATGGCGCTGAAAATTATGAAAACGTGAGTGGGGGGTTATTTACAGGGGGCTGGGACATTTTTAACGGTTTAAGCAGACAAATGTAGTTCCACTTACTCTCCGGCAGGGTTGCTTTCGGCTTTATCTGACACTGTCACTCTTCTGCCAAGAAAGATAACACCCTCTAAGACCTATAAAAGGGAGGGAGGAAGAAAAGTCTCAGATACTAATGTGTCTCTAATGGTTTGTTTCAGGAACTATGAGCACATTGTGAAGGCCCATCAGAATAACCCTCAGCAGGGCAGCGAGCAGGTTTCAGATCAGGTGAAGTTCAGTGTGTTTCAGAGCATCATGGACTCTCTGTTCCAGTCCTTCAGTGCCTCAGTGTCGGTCAACAGCTTTCAGGAGCTCTCTGCCTGCGTCTTCAGCTGGATCGAGGAACACTGCAAGCCCCAGGTAGCACATACACATACATGCTCACACGTTTAAAGGAATAGTTCACCCAAAAATGAAAATTGTCATAATTTGCTCACTCATGTCATTTCAAACCTGTTTTGAGTTTTTTTCTTATGTTGAACATAAAAAGATATTATGAACAATGCTGGTAATCAAACAATTGATGGTCCCCATTGACTTCCATAGTATTTCTTTCCCTACTCTGGAAGTCAATGGGAACGAACAACTTTTTGGTTCATCAACATTTTTCAAAATATCTTCTGTTGTGTTCAACTTAAGAGAAACTTATACAGGTTTGGAACAACATGGAGGTAAGTAAATGATGACAACATTTTCATTTTTAGGTGAACTATTCCTTTAAGGCTTGTTAATAGCTGAATTATGACATGAACAACGAGTTGCAGTTCTCAGCTTTTTTAACATAAAGGTCCACAACAATATGTAAAGGCCCCATGAGTTTTCCAGTTGTTTGTGATTTACTGGATAAGGATTCAGAAGGATTTTTAAAAATAGTTTTTACTCAGCTTCTACCTGATCAAATATTTTAGAGTTTGAAAACTAGAAAAATAATGTTTAATATTTAATGAATTAACTAGACTTTTCCAAGTCTAGAAATCACATTTAAAATTAGGCTATCTAGGTTTTTCCAGACCATGGGAACCCTGGCTTTTCGAAGAAAAAAATAGTTAAAGGAGGCAAATTAAAATGAGATTTTTTTGTTCTTGCGGTTGTTTTAGCCCATTTTAAAGTTTGTTTAGTCTAATTTTAAATCATTATTAAGACTTTTTGCAAGTTTTAAGTTTGCTAAGTGCCCTGGTTGAGAACCACCAGGTTAAGGAGGTTCATTTAGAGGACATTTACACACACTTTTTTTTTTTTTTTTAATCACATAGCGGATTGCTGTTTTTCTTAACAGGAAAAATGCATGAAATGATCAAGTGTAAATGCCCCTCGCCAAAAACACAAAGTATGTGCTCATACCAATTAGACAAAGCAACCTGGAAATGCATTAAAGATGCAAAACGTGCCATAAAAGCGTTAATAACACTCTACTCAAACCAATGTAGACAACCTGGGGGCTGTTTCATAAAAGACGCTAAGAAAAGCGGGGATTAAAGTCCAAAACCTGACTTGAAATAACCTAACAAATCAATCAGGACTACAGCGGTTTCATAAACGACAATTTAAGTTCACGCAATCTCACTAATTCGATCCAGGTTCAAGGAGTCAGGATAATTTGATGTGCATGCTTATTCTTAAGCAGCCCTTAATGTCATGATCATGGATCAAAACGATCCACCATGACAAACAGCGAATATTTGTGCTGTTTAATGCATTTGAGACATTGTGTTTTTCTCAGTGCATAACTGACACGTCACAGGTATATTTTTCATCTGTAAATGTTAGAAAGTCATGCAAATATATCCATTTTGCTGTCAGGAGTGGGCGAGGCTTACGCGAGCGAACGAGTGCTGCTGCACGCTTGTGCGCTACACAGATGGAGCAGAATAGAATAATAGCGCAATAATTCTGAATAAATATACATTCTGCAAAAATATTTGTTGTTGGACATTAAATGTGACAAGCAGAATTTTAATCCTACATCTAAGTGTATTTTTAGGATAGGAGTAACTGTAAATCAAATGTAAGCTGGCTAATACAGCCCTACTAGCGTGTTAAAATGTTTTCGTATCTCTTAAAAAAAAAAAAAAGGTCATTGCATTTTGGGCACAATACATTAAATACAGTTAATTGTAGCCTATATTTTTATTTATTTGATTATTTAAGTTGCATTTTCTGTATACTTTTATTTTTGGACTAATAATAAAGTCAACTTCAAATTTATCCACTCTGGGACCCGGTTTCAAAAAATATCGGTTTCACTCTCCCAAAACGCTGGATCCGTGTGGACGAAACGCCTATACGATACAAAATTACGATACAAAAATACAGCTAAACGCGTCTCCGTGTGGACAGGGCCTTAGAGGAGCTCAGCTTAGCCTGACCGTTAACCTGCCTTGGACCAGGTTAGTTCCCCAGCATAAGTTGCCACAGTGACTGAGCTTGAGCTATGGTAATTTTGCTTTCGGAAACCAAATCAAGTGACAATAAGTCAGAATAACTGAAATAAGCCTGGCTTATTTGGTAAACTAGTTTTATGAAACAGCCCCCTGATCACTACACAAGCGACAACAAGCTTCAGTTTTTCAGTCAATCACCTACACAGGCTTAGATAAACACTGTAAACTCCCAGACTAACCATGTTTTTCTGTATTGTTGACAGACGCTGAGAGAATTTATGGTGACCGTGCTGCAGCAAGTGAATGGTCAGCTGTACTGAAGCTGTCAATCTGTATGTTTGTCTGTCTCTCAGGCTGATATCTCATTCAAGAACAGTCTCTCTTTCACACACACACACACACACACACTATGCAGCAGGGTATCAGCACACTAATGGACTGGGGTGCATTCAAGAACTCTAAAGAGATGAAGTAGTGCTTGCTCAAGTATTGACTGACAGTGTTTATGGCAGTGATTCCAATCAACAAATGTGGAAATGCAGTAATTTATTCCGATCAGTCATTGTATTACTAATAATTTGGAAGGTAATAATCTGACCTAAGATTGTTTCCTCACACGCCTTCAGCTGGTTTAGAAATTAAAGAAGGTGTAAGTTCTGTTTAGTTGATGTTGTCGAACACACCTCAGTCCTGAAGTTTAATCATTTCTGTTTAGTCTAAAACCAGAAGAGTTTCATCAGTATTCATATTTTCAAAAGTTTGCAGTTGTGATGCTAAGATAAAATAGCATCCTGACAACCACAGATATGAGGAATACTCAGCTGTAAGACAACTTCACACCCCATATACTGAGGTGAGAGATATGTCTCAATTTACTGCATTATAAACCAGACAGCTGCCTTTGAATGATTAAGCTTGGTGTGTTGCATTCAGTTATCATCTTTACCTCATGTTCAAATTATTTTCCAAAGCACAACTACATTTTCACCTTTACAAACAGCCTAGTGCTGGAAAGGGGAGCCGAGAGGTCTGGTTACACTGTGATGCATCACTGTCAGTTGGTTTTTATACGTCCAAAAACAGCTGTCTGGCATGCTTTAATATAATTAAAGTTAGGCAATGCTGAGCCATCTTAGTTCCTCTTTGTCCTTTGGATGCTGTGACCAAAGATTGCAGTGTCTACGCACAAATAATGGAAGATAAACCTCTTTTTTGTCATGTTATGTCAGTTTTTGTTCAGCTTTGTGTAACGCAATAATGTTTTATTCTACATTTATGATATTGGTTTAAGCTCTTGTGATCAGTATGTTTTGTGCTGCATAAGCTATCAATGAAGACACAGTCGCATCCGTGCGTGGTAGCAGCTTCACATGGTGTGACCGCCCAATTCTATTTATATTTTCAATGAATGTTAATTAAGGCGTAATGAAAATTAGAAGTCTACTCAGGACACAGATTTTTAGGTATTGAGATCTTTTTTCTTTAAATAACATGATTGTACAATCAACTGTTTGACCTGTGCTGGAATAAGGGACGTCTTTACAAGTTAAGCCATACAGTGGAGCGAATGCCAGCTCACAGAAACGAGGCTACGTCGTGCTGAACTACTATACTAGACTCTGTGCTTCTGCATTTCTGACTTCAACGGAAGAATCTGGTGGAAATATTTTTGTATCAGTATAATTTTTTTAATTGAAAAATAAACAATGTTCAAACTTATTTACAGCTTGTTTGTCCTTTCTTTCTCAACAGAACTTTTATAAATAGGATTGGGTTTTAACAAAACAGTTCTCTCAGTGTCCCAGAATCCTCTACATTACTTTCCAACCTTTCCAAAGGTCTGGTGTCCCAGCAACGATGTTGGCGGCATCTGAATTTAATCAGTGAGTCCTCCATCAGATGTTAGGCATTGCCACTTTATGGTCCTCATCGGTTTCAATCCCAGCCTCCTCCTGATTTCAAACACAAGATGTAGAGGAAAGAAAGTTTTTCATTTGCCAGTATAAAAATACACATGATACGCTAAGGCAGGGTTTCCCAAAACAATGGCTGTGAACCCTAGCGGTTTGTGAGGGAACTGTGGGGGGGTTTTAAGTTGATGAAAAGCTAATAATTAAAGAAATAGTTCACCCAAAAATGAAATTTCTGTCATTAATTACTCAACCTCATGTCGTTCCAAACCCTTCGTTCATCTTCAGAACACAAATTAAGATATTTTTTGATGAATTCCAAGAGCTTTCTGACCCTCCATAGACAGCAATGGAACTGAAATGATCCCAGGCCCAAAAATGTAGTAAGGACATTGTTAAAATAGTCCATGTGTTAATAATAATAGTCCAACCTTAATTTTACAAAGCTATGAAAATAATTTTTGTGCACAAAGAAAACAAAAATAACTTCATGCACATGCATGCGTTGTGGTACTGTCGATAATGGCGGCCAACGGGGCCACGGAAGAGAAGAATTGTTGAATAAAGTCATTATTTTTGTTTTCTTTGCACACAAAAATGTATTCTCGTAGCTTCATAAAATTATGGTTGAGCCACTGATCTCACATGGAGTATTTTCATGGACTGTTTCTGGGCCTTGAACGTGTCAGTTGTGCTGCTGTCTATGCAGGGTCAGAAAGCTCTCGGATTTCATCAAAAATACCTTAATTTGTGTTCCGAAGATGAATGAAGGTCTTAAGGGTTTGGAACGACATGAGGATGAGTAAATATTGACAGAATTTTAATTTCTGGGTGAACTATCTCTTTAATAATATCCCATGTAAAAAGACTCCATCTCCGCATGTGCTACGACTTTAACACGCATTTGGGTATGCTACTTGAGCTAGGTTCGCTTTATTTACGGTCACATAATTTCCGTTATTTTAATGGACAGAAGTTTAAAGTTTACAGCATTTCAATAGTATTATGGTAAAATAAAGGCTCGAGGGTTTGAACGTTAAAAAGTGAAGCATTTAAGATAAATATTAGTATTATTACTTGAAGTGTAAAAATTATAATTAGTCAAATATTCATTTTTATTTGTCATTTACAACAGTAATATATTGCTTCATTTTTGTGATTAGAGTTGAAACGAGTTAAAGATTCACTATTTTATCTATTTACTTGCATGTCGTGACCATTAACTGACATCAGAGAATCGTGAACAAGCAAACATGTTGTAATTGAAATATTAACGTCAAATCTTAGGGGGTACTTCAGATAAATTTGGAAACCTGTTTTAAGGGAAAGACTCACCAGAAACTGTTTCTTGCTCTTTGGGTACCCCTCCAAAATAGATCCAACCATATCGGTAACCTGGCAGGTAAAGAGACATTAATTACTTAAAAGCCGTGCTTGGAGTTTCATGTTATGGTACATAAGACTTCATATATATCTAATTATCTGTATAGTGCAAGTTATGTAGCATTATCACAGGTATCATTTGTTAGGTCAGTTGACCATTGGCAGTGAGAGTAAAGACCTTAATGTGCAAGAGCAGTTTCCATTCGTACATAAATAAACCATGGTGTTGAGGACACAAAGGTAAATATGAAATGAATGCACTTTCATAAAGGCACACCTATGGCTGTATCATTAAAAACTAGCTGACATGTTGTCTCCTGGGCAGAATCTGAAGTTGTGTGAATAAATGTTTTTATGGATCATTACCATTCTCTTCCTCTTCCTCCACTCCTTCACATAAGTCTCTCTCTCCTTGTAAACCTGAGGGGCAAGAAATACACTTGTCAGCAACATAAACAAGCATAATATACTGTGTTGACTGCCCCAGGACAGCCACATTATCTGTATAAACTTCACCTAATGAATCAAACATATTCCAGAGATGCTAGAAGGTTTTAGATTAGTATTTTTGCACTGCTTTACAAAAAAGCAATTTAATGTGCAGGGCTCAACAATAAGAATGGCCCAGGGCCAGTGTGGGAGAGATTCAGGCCGCTGTATGGACGGTCATTTGCACTTACTCGACACTACATTTTGTGTTCATTAATCATGCACAGAGCTGGTACTGTAAACGTTAACACTTGGGTTTTCTGTCATGTATTGCATATTGTTGTTATGATTTAGCTAATTTAAATAGGTTACCAATGTAATGTCATGTAACTATTTAAAGAAACTGTGAGCAAAGTTGTGACTTGGAGAAAATGTTTTTCACAATATGCCACTGTTTTCAGCTAAACTGTTTTTTAATAGCGGTCATGGAGTTACAATATAGCTGTATAATTCCAGATATTATTGCAGAATTTTTTGTTCAAACGTTTGATGAAAAATGCAGTAAAGTAATGAAATATTGTTACAATTTGAAATAACTTTTCTATTTGTATATATTTTGAAATATATTTTATTCCGGTGATGGCAAAGCTGAATTTTCAGCATCATTACTCTCCAGTCTTCAGTGTCACATGATCCTTCAGAAATCAATCTAATATTCTGATTTGCTGCTCAAGAAACATTTCTTATCATTATCAATGTTAGAAATAGTTGTGCTGCTTAATATTTAAGTGGAAACTGATATTTTCCCCTCAGGATTCTTTGATGAACAAAGTGCAAAAGAACAACATTTATTTGAAATAGAAAGTTTGTACTTTTTGTAGCACTGTCATACATGCAAACACACAACTGTTCAAAAGTTTAGGGTCAATAAAATATTTTTCTAAAATAAATTATAAATATATATTTCCTGACATGTATTGCATAAAAATAAACTCTATCATTTTTTGGTGGGTCTGAGGTAAAAATGCTGGCAGGAAGTAGTGGTCTGACCTACTGTTGATCCCAGAATAGATCCTGCATGGTGAATTTGTCAAATGGTGCCAAGGCCAAAAGATCACCAGATATTAAAGAACACAGTGATTTCTAACCTTCTGCTTCTCCTCAGGGGTCACATGGTTTGTAGCTGACTTGATTTTATCCAGCCTCTCTCTGTACCCAGAGCACTCTGCCTGCAGCTCCTGGATCTGTTCCTTCATCTCTGCTGTGGTTAATGAGCTGTTCAGCTCCTTCAGTTCTGAGGGCAAAAAGATGAACTTTTTATCAAATACAAAGTCTGTGTGCACAAGTTCAAACCACACGTCTTTTCCCAGCAGTGCACACCTGTATCCAGCTGCCTGCAGCTCTGTGAGATGGTCTGTACTTCAGCACCGAGTTCTGCAACACGAGCATCCATCTCCTTAAGTTCAGCATCACTCACATCCGCAAATTGAGACTGAAGGGTTAGAAAGGACATCTGTCAGGCTGACTACCCAACACCAGTTCTCTTCGTATTAACAGCAAACTGTGTCCATCCTAATCAGACCAACCTGATCTGCAAAGTAGATCTTCTGCTTTCCATAGACTTTCTCTTGAATCTTTCCCTCCTGGGCCAGCTGCTCCATTGCTTTGAGCACAGCCTGAGAAAAATAAAGGCGTTTAATATCACAAAATCATATAACATAATACACTCTGTATACAAACTGTAATATTAAACTATCACATTTAACACACCGGTGGTGAACACCACAAAGAGCTCTTGTATTATCACACACTGGACAGATGTCATCAAAGCAGAACGTTTTAAATCTGAACTGTAATGTTGCTTTTTACCGTTTTACCCAGACCACACTGCTCCTGTAGGTTTGTAAAGACATCCTGAGCACTATAGGGTCTGTTTTTCTCATTCAGGTAAGCGAGGATCTGCGCGACACCTGTGTGGGAGACAAAGATGGAAAACTGATGTAACGTTAGTATAGCTGATTATTGTATTGTAGCGTTGTGCTGTAACGTTACCATTTATGAAATCACAACAAAATGAAGGCATAAAATGTTCAGTAGTGTAAGTATAAGAAGCATCGCGTACCAGCACTATCTTTTTTGCTCATTGTTTCCTCGGTCTAGATCTGTCAGCGAGCTGCACTTTTCTGTTGTTTACCTCAGTCAGCTTTCGCGCGCCGAGTTGAATTGTGGGAGTACCGGTGACGACGACACGTAGGTCATCTTGAAGACGTAATTTTGATGGTATGTGTTGGATCATACATGGTGTCATTGTGTATAAAACATTGTGTCATTATAATGTATAATGCACACATTATGTATAATGTATATAAACTTCTAATTAGTTTATACATTTAAAATTCACAATTAAAATGAATACATTTAAAAATTTATAAATTATATAATTATTATTTTTTTATTATTATAAAATGCCCTTCGCTAATGCATTCTTCTGCATCTTTAGTTTTAGTTTATTTTTTATTTTTTATACAACAACATAGAATTGCTTAAAAAAATAGTATATTATTATTATATTGGTAAACATTTAATGAAGGCTTTTTTCAAATTATCCATAATGTTTATAATATTTCTAAATGAATTAAAACAACTTGCCAGTTTCATGTAAAAAGTTGATTGACTGTAATTTGTACATTCGTGAAATATAATTTGCTGTAGAAGTAGAGCTAGTTAATATTAACCATGTTCACTGTTTATTTTTTGATTTATTGTATTGCCTTCCACAACAGATTTTTTTTAAAATCTTACTAAAATGTGTTATTTCTGTGTTAATAATAGTCATTGTTATTGCAAATTAGACTAGAACATTTTTATTTGGTCAATAGGTCACAAAACAAAATTAAATGTATCCAATAGGCCTAACTAACAGAAGAAAAATCACACTTTGTACTTAAAGAACATATTCATTCATCTCTTTATTGTCTTGCACATCAAAAGTTATCAAAAACCAGTTACAGAGAATGGAAGAGGGAAATAGTTGTGTGCAGAAATAAAAATCACTGCAGAATCCAGCTACAGAAAGACTCCTGTAAAATGCTCACACAAATAAAGAAAAGACGAGTGATTCTGTATTTTGCATTTGCCTCAACATGGTAGACTGCTAACTGATTTAAATCACTAACATCAATACAACATCAATAGATGACGCTGGGCATAATTTTCTTCCAGTATATAAACCACCACTTCATTGTCCCATTTGAATTGCTGGTGATTTTTGTTGAAATTGACCACAAAAAGGTGAATGGCTAAAATGGCCAGAGAATTTTTGCACTGAATAGTAATCCCACTGACACACTTACAAACAAAAATCTTGTCATGCTTTTTTCAAAAGAAGTATTGATAATCTATCAAACCAAATTAATTCATATTCATAAAAGAGTGTGTTCATATAAATAGTTAAGTATTATTAATAATAGTATTAACTATAAACATGAAAGTAAAAAGGGGAAAAATAAAAGGCTTTCCAATCTATGAACCTACTATGCATTACACTTCAATGTCACATATAACACCTAAAAAAATTAATAATAATAAATCAAACCTTTTTAACACAGCAATCCAAAAAATATCATCAGCAATTAGGGCTCACAACCAAACAAAAACAAAACAGGAAAAAAAGAAAAGAAGTTGAATAAAAATCACAGAAAAGTGGCGAAATATGAAACACTCCTATAAACAGTACTGCTCTTCTAACCTAACTCAAGTTGGCTGGATAAAGTAAGACTTGGGTTTGAAATGTAATAAACAAACTGGAATAGCAGGAAGTGACAGACTGTGAATACACATGAGAAAGATAAGATGCTTCCTTATAATTCCTAAACGCTCCATTACCTTAAATTAAAATGAGAAAACCAATGAATGCTTGGAAAATAGAAAACACTTCACTGATCTCTGGTAACAGAATGCCTTTTTATCAGTACAGCAGTTTTCCGGTACGTTTCCTACTTTCCAGCGTACACAGTAATGAAAGCTTAAAGCCAGCAATGATGGGTCTCATTAGCATTAGGTCAGAAACCGAAAAAGTGCAGTGAAACAAAAAATGATCAGCATCTACTAAAGAAACAGCAAATTCAACTTAATTCCACCAGCTTCATCATACCACAAGAAAGGAAGAAAGAAAGGCGTTTTCTCAAATCCTTTGCGCTTTAGTACTGTACTGAATGTTAGACTTTGCCCTAAATCTCATATCAGACCAGACCAGATGAAAAGAGAGGATGCAGAGATCTACGGTTTTTCTGCTGCTACCTGTATTAAAGTTCCTGCATAAAGTCAGAACGGTTAAAGGCGTGTTTTAAGAGAGGAGGCCGTGTACAAACAGGTGGCAGTTACAGCCGAACGTCTTGTTTGAGGTAGAGTCATTACAAACAAAATCAATGTACTGCCATATTATCCAGATGAACAGCATTGCTGAGCTGTTAAACAAGTTGGTATTGTTTGATTTTAATTAGTTTTTTCAATTTGACTGACGAACAGACAAAGAACAGCCATTTGAAAGACAATATACTGTAATTTTCCCAATTTTTACAACAGAGGTCTTTAAAAAATGTTGGAAAGAGCTACTGTCATTTATTAACATGTTGTTTTCAAGTAATGCAGAAAAAAATCCAGCCTGTATGAACTTAAATGTAAATATCATTGTGGAAGAAACATCTTCCACTGTCTTGACTACTAATTTAAAATCTTGTTGAGATTAAAATTGCTGGGCAATGATATATAATGAATACATTTTATTATATTACTCCTGATTTAGGAAATTTTCATTGCCATCAGATAAAAATGATGAAAAATTATGTGCAGTTACCACATAAAGAAATAAACAAATGGGGGAAAACAGGTGCAAAGAAGTTATAATTCAAGTTATTTGGGACATTTCCCCCCGTCGTTTCAATGATAAAAAGCATCCCAATTTACCTGAATTCACCACTATGGCAAAATGAGATAACCTGACTGCTGTTTATCACTCAGTGACCTTAAAGCAGATAATTTGATGTTTACCTGCTTACCCCAGGACATCCAAGAAGTAGGTGACTTTGTTTCTTCAGTAGAACACAAACGAAGATTTTTAACTCAAACCGTCCTCCATAATGGAAGCGAATGGGAATCACGGCTTTGAGAGTAAAAAAAACAAACATACACAAACAAAACCAAATTAAACCCTAAGGCTCGTGACGATACATTGATGTGTAAAGACACAAAACGATCGGTCTGTGCAAGAAACTGAACAGTATTTATCTCGTTTTTTACCTCTGATTCACCACAATGTCCGAACTGACCTGACCATTGTCACTCCTAATTGAGATTGTAGATAGAGTGTCAATGGTCCATTTGAGAGATAGGTGGCGGTAATGCACTTATAAGTCTGCCATCCGCCGTAAAGCAAGAATAAGACGCGTCACGAGCCAGCTGTCGAGGACGCGCTCAGGACAGTTCAGACATTGCGTGAGGTAAAAACTACATAAATACTGTTCAGTTTCTTGCACAGACCGATCGTTTTGTGTCTTTACACATCAATGTATAGTCACGAGCCGCAGGGTTTAATTTGGTTTTGTTTGTGTATGTTTTTTTGACTCTCAAAGCCGTGATTCCCATTCACTTCCATTATATGACTGACAGACTGCAACGGTTTGAGTTAAAAATCTTCGTTTGTGTTCTACTGAAGAAACAAAGTCACCTACATCTTGGATGCCCTGGGGGTAAGCAGATAAACATCAAATTATCTGAATTCACCACTATATGGCAAAATGAGATAACCTGACTGCTGTTTATCACTCAGTGACCTTAAAGGGATAGTTCACCCAAAAATGAACATTTGATGTTTATCTGCTTACCCCCAGGGCATCCAAGATGTAGGTGACTTTGATTCTTCAGTAGAACACAAATCTTGGATGCCCTGTGGGTAAGCAGATTAACATCAAATTTTAATTTTTGGGAGAACTATCCCTTTAAGAAAAGTTAATGTCTCAGAGTCTTAAAAGTGACAGGCCACCCAAAAAATTAATTTATGTCATCATTTACTCAGCCCTCGTGTTGTTCCAAACCCTTAAGACTTGTTTTCTTCTGTGGAATGATGGTAACCGAACAGTTTTTGTTGCCATTGACTTCCATTGTATGGACAAAATGTTCCATTTCTCAAAATGTCTTCTTGTATGTTCTACAGAAGAAAGAATGTCATACAGGTTTAGAAATGGCATGAGCGCGAGTAAACGATGACAGAATTGAGATTTTTGGGTGAACTACCACTTTAAAAAAACAAGAGATGAGGCTGCGGCCTTAATATGTCACTGCTACTTCATCAGACTCCTCTGCTCAGCGATGTCTTGACTGTAGATTTCTTTACTACAGGCGTCTTCATATATGTATAACCTAAGGGTCTTGACTTTGCATTGATGATGGAATGTCTGATTTGGTCCCATGTGTTATTATTGAAGACACAAACAATACAGCGACTGATGTGAAAGATCTATAAGACTTGGATGTAGTAAAAAGATCTGGTGTTTGTTTTGCTGGTTTCTAAGAAGTTTTAGAGATTTTGGATCTTTTTAAATGGTTCTATGATTGGTGTCCTATTGCTTAGCCTACAAAGTAAATCGGAGTATTTCACACACGAATGAGAGAGGACACGGAAGCTCACGGAGCATAAACAGAGAAGATTCAGACTACAAACAAGATTACTTCACAGTGATATCAACTGCAGCCAGTGGAGGAAACCTGGCAAGTGAATCTAATATTACATTAACAGTGCAAAACAAAACACCCTCTCTCTCCGTCGCACTCACTCAGATAAATCGAAAGCATCTCAGTAGACATTCAAACCAACACTGCAAACTTCTACTCGGATCAAGGTGCGAGGGACATGAGGAGCAGACAGACGGAGGGAGTATCTGTAAGATGGGCTCACTGTGGCTTCCCCAGCAAGTTGGACAGGAAATTGGATCCCTGGGTTCTGTTTTGGCCCCCCTGCCCCCCTCCAAATGGATCCAACTGGTTCAGCTCGGACTGATCCAACATCTCAAAGTCCTCGCCATCAAAGTCCAGGTCTGTGTCTAACTCCGAGCTCGACTGCTTCCTGTATCCCCTCGGAGCGGCTCCTGCCCGTGGGCCGCTCTCTCTCCGAGGGCCTTGCGGTGGGCGGGGCTGCATGGCTCCTGCGATGGCTGCCTGGATCATGTTGCTGGCGATGACCCCTGCCAGGTTACTAGTGAGGTCAGAGGTAGTATTTAGGGAGCCGAGGGAGATCTCAGGGTCGAAATCTTCCTGATCAGAGTCCATCTGGGTGTCCAGGTCCAGCAGGGCGGATGTAGAGCCGCGAGGGCCAGAGAGCGCGGCTGAGTTGAGACTGGGCAGCCCGATGCTGGCATCATCATCGTCCTCCATCAGAGTGGCATCTGGGTTGATGGAGGGGAAGTCTGGAAGCCCACAGGCAAATGATTCTTCTGGATCACTGTGTCTGTCTAGATCTATTAAAGTGAATAAATAAAGATTAAGATATTATAGCATGAAAAAAAATTATACCTTGGTCATCGACATAGCTCATTTTTGTCCTATTTATTAATTACTAAAAATGTATTATTTAATAAAAAAAAACAAAAAAAAAACAGTAATTTTGGGAAATATTGTTACAATTGAAAATAAAGACCTTTTTTTTATGTTAATATATTTTAAAATGTAGTTTATTCCTGTGATGTAAAGCTGAATTTTCAGCATCATTACTCCAGTCTTCAGTGTCACATGATCCTTCAGAAATCATTCTGATATGCTGATACATTTCTTAATAAATATTTATAAAAAATTAAATAAAAAATCTTACTGACCACAATCTTTTAAACAATATTGTATCAAAAACAGAATTCATGCATACAGTAATTTAATTTCGGAATTGATTTTGATATTTAGTTTTGTTTAATTAAATGTTTTTTCAACTTACTGATACACAAACAAAATAACCTTTAACCTTGAAAAATACATACATTAAAAAAACAATGATTTTGATTAGATGTGTACTCTCATAATCTATGAGTGAGGAAATATTTTATTACTTTTTACTTGATCGTTGCAGTCATTAAACTGAAGATTTTCTTTAAAATATTATAAAGGTTTTTCAATACCATATGAAACCAACGTGAATACAAATACAATGCACATTTCTAAGAACTTGTTGTGTTTTAAACCAGATTTGTTTTCTTCCTTTTCTTTACTGTAGACAATCTTGTCATTGACACACATACAAAGACTGAAAAAAGAGTCAAAGAGTAGAAGACGTCAAGGTGTCTTACCCTCTGAGCCCTCTGTGAGGGGTGTTTGACCCCTGGAGAGGTTAAAGGTGCCGTTATCCATGTACGACACCTCAGCATCCGAGTGCTCGGAGTCAGTCATTGCCAGTTCCTTAGCAACTGCTGCTTCATCAAACTACGGGTGCAGAATATTTAGAGAAGTGTGAGTGTATTAGAAAAAAACAATGATCTTCCAATTTGCTTTTTACTATCATGAACCCCTACAGACCCCCTAACCTCATGACCATGCAGCTGCTCTAAATCCCCGTGTTATAAATAACCCTGTTTCTGGGCTCACCGTTGGGCAGAATGCAGCCAGTTCTTCTTCGCTGTCACTTGCATCATCCGAGGTCCCGCTTCTGATGGGCTTACGAAGAACTGCAAACACAGAAGGGTAAACATTAGTTTGGTTAATCAAAACTTCTGAAAACTGTAATATACAGTAAAAGACAGATAACACATAGCTACAAGAGACATCAACTGGTCATGTTCACAAATGCTTATTGTAATATGTAACTGTCACATACAATTGAGAAACTGTGTCTGTCATAAAGTAATTCAAAGTTTCTGTACAACAATGTTCGGTATTACCTTATGTGTTGATTCATTCTTCAGCTAAAACAATTTTTTGTTAATTTTGTTCTACTGTCAAACAAGCAACTGCACATCACAGATATGCTACTGTATGCAATAGACCCTAGTCAGGTTAGATGCCATATGAATATTGAATGTCCAGATTTGTAGAATAAGAGCTAAATTACATGGAGAAGACTGTGATTTGGAGCTAAAAATGGCAGGAAATTTTTAATAGGAATCCACATAATCATACATTTTGTTTCAGGACAAAATATTTCCCCATGCAGATTTTGCACTGTGTTAAAATTTTACATGCAACTTCGCTGTGTTGACCAACAGAAAGCTGCTTGGTTTGAAAGTAACTTCTGTGTTAAGGGGCGGTCACACTAGACTTTGAACGTGCTAAATATTTTCGGACGCTGCTGCGAATATGGGCGGGAGCAGGATATGACAATAATAATACACTCGTGTATAATAATTATATTGTACTCTCTCTCTCTCTCTCTCTCTCTCTATATATATATATATATAAGGGATGCAACGATACCACTTTTTCCAGTACTCGCCCGATACCGATACTTTTATTTTTGGTACTTGCCGACACCGAGTACCGATACCCATATTTTTATTGCATTTGTACATTTTTTAAATATTGGGTACAGAAACCAAAAGGGTATGTATAATGTTAGTTGGTTAACTTCATTTATCAAATAGATACAGTCAAACCAAAATTTATTCAGACACCTGGCGCTATGGCTAAAATGAGTGCTTCCTCCATTTTTGAATTTCTGTACAGAAAGGTCACGCAGTGACATATCGATCTTCTACTGGTCACATGTCTTCACGTGATGCGAATTCACAGGTCAGAGTTCACTAAACTTGAACTTTGGAATGCAGCGAAATGCAAAATTTTTCGCATGAGCTTGCATTTCCGGTCTGACGCATTCGCATGCGTATGAATGGAAGTCAATGGTACGAAAAGTGCAGTGTGACCGCCCCTTTAGCTGTGCATCACTACATTATTAACAATACACAATGGACCTTTATGCCCACAAATTTTTAAAACTACATCTTCAGATATAGTCCTTAAAATACAAGATTTGTCTTCAGCATAACATCAGTCTGCACTTCAGTTTTATGGGACTCACACTGTATAGATCTACAGTGTACTTACACTGGTTGTCTATAGGCTTTGACAACATATATCCTTTGGCGCTGAAGTCCAGCCACTGCAGGGCCGGCTCCAGCTTCACACATGCACGCTGCCACAGCCGATAATACAGCGCCAATGGGCACAGCAACACACCCAGCACTGAGGGAGAGAAAGACAGAAAGTAAATATTTTGCAGTTGTTAAGGCGCTGGAGAGGATGAGCAAGCCCTGAAGGATTTCTGCTACTCACAAGCCATGTATGACAGCACCAGTCCAGGGATGTAGCTCCCCACCATGGCCACTGAGGTGAACAGGCCACAAACCAGCATACAAAACTGTAAAACAATGGAGTTTCATGATTTGATAAATGTTTAGCATTAAAACAAAAAACGTTGTATAATATATCAACAATATAATAATTCAACCTCATAAAGCAGTCATAAAAGCCATAATAATAATGAAAGGCCTTGAATTACACAAATGCAAAACAAAATGCATTGTGGTTGGTCACTTTACATGTTGCTTGGAAAGTCTCTTCCTGTCTAAGTGGGTGGCTCTTAGCCAGAAAAAAATCTGCAAACTGGACCAAACTATTTTCCGCAAGTCAGAAGTCTGGCTACACACAATATAGGGCTTATAACATCACTATGCAATCGTAACTAAATCGATTTTAATAGCGTTTCTGGTTTGGACGTAATCTCACCTTGCCTGGATTTTTCCGTTTGAACTGCACAATATCTGTTGCACAGGAAGAGCCCGTAACCCAAACTTCAGCCAGGTGGTGGCATAATTCAGGCACACTCAAAGTCCCAGGCTGCATTAGACCCCAGCTGATAGCCAATCAGAGAAGAGCAGAGAGAATTAACAATTACATTAAACAACTCTCAAGTCTCACACCACTGGAAAAACCTGAAAAAGAGTAAACAAATTGACATTACCTTTCATTCTCACTCTCATCTTGCTTTTTAACTGTAAAAGAACAAAAACAAACAATGTCAGGTACATTTGTGAGTATTACAAGTCTTTTTTCGCCATTTGCTTAATTACATTTTCACTTCCATCAGAAATATGAATATTTAGACAGGTTTTATGAGAGCAACACTTTTAAATTAGTATCTGGTTTGAATTCTTTTAAAGACTTCCCAGAATGTTGATCGAAAGCTAATAAGCCACTGTGTAACAGCTACATGCAAAATATTGATTCAGGTCGATACTGATCTCCTCCTGGAAATGCACTAGTAGGAACTGTCAATTTCATAACTTGCTAGGAGCTGAGTGAATGGGCAGGGAGAAAATGAAACTTGAGTGGGTCACAGCACAGGGAACACAGAGATTTTAATTACAGCCAATATGATTCATATTAAAATAATAAACAGATGGAAGAAAGATGAGGTCTTATAGGTAGGTAGTAGTTGTAGACAGGCAATAGAGGAAGGTCAGTTGTACCTCTGATCTTAGGCCAGATCTTATTCCTCCAAGTGTCGACACAAACAGCCAGAGCCAGACCTGATGCCAGCAGAAAAAGCAACCTCAAAGAGCTCAGAGCAAAAAACCTGAGAAGAGATCAGAAAGACTGTAGTCCATTATTTATACTCTCTTTTTAAATGTTTTCATCATGAAATAACCTTGAATAAAGGCTTTTTGATCATTTTTGTGAAGTGTCTTGTATCATTGTTTTTTATGGATTACAATGTGTGCTTTATACGGCATCAGCAGCTCTGTTGTGGAATCTCTGACCAAAACCTTGTGATGGCATCTGTCACGCATTTATCTTGCTGAATATATGAGGAAACCTTTGTTACACAGGTGTTTCCGGCCCCAGTGTCTTCCTGTGCAAATCTCAGAGACAGCGTGTGCTGCACAAGCAGTTGTGATTTCCGACAGTTTCGCTGCATGGCTAATTACTGCTATGTGCTACAGTACTTGGCTAAAAGGTGAGCCGCCACTGAGACCAGGCTGAATTCTACTGATCTCTCGGTGTGGAACCAGACAGCGAATGCTGTTTGATGACTGGATCAAACAGCATTCGCACATTGACCTGTCAAAACCACTACAACCAAATTTAAGTGGAGGGTTGAAATGTTCTGAGATGGTGGTGAGACTTTATTTCTGAATGGCCTGGGCTATGGTTAAAAAATGATCAATAAACATCTTTACAAGCACGGAAATGTCACAAGCGGTTCCTCTGCTGTTCACTGAGGCAAATAAAAGGAGATAATAAGATCAGGGAGAATATTTCTCTGATGGAGAGGGCGACTGCACTAAGTGAATGAAGACTGCATGCCTGAACGATAAAGAAAAAGAGAGTGAGCCATCCAACCTACAAAAAATTCTTCCCTGCACATCTTTCCCTCCTGAAGCATTTCATCTAAAGCTTTTCAGACTTATTGAGCACCCTTTATAGCAAATAGTCAACATGAAATCTCATTCCCAACTAATTTTACTTCTATAATGTCACATATTTCCATAAAAGGAGGCAAAATTATCAGGACTTTATCCATTAAGGATTTGAATAGGATGGCAAAAAGTGGGTGTTACGTATCAGTATGGAGCCTTAAAGCAAATTTGCATAACAAATTCTTAAATATTAATTTCAGACGAAGAGCACGTTGTACATTTCGATTAAAGTAGGGCTGCAAAACGATTGATCACATTCAAAATAAAAGTTTGTTTACATACAATATGTGTGTGTACTCTGTATATTTATTATACATACATGTGTATATTAAGGAAAAATGATAGAATTATATATAAAACATTTATATATATATAT